TTTTAGAGGAGCCAGGTGCCATTTTCCAGGTAAGCGAAGAATTCTGGCTCTCTCTGGGAGACTTGTAGGAATGCTTCATTGAGCTACCTACAGCTAAATTCAGTATGGAATTAACCTACCACTTTATCCTCCTGTGTCTTCCCTCTCATGGGAGTGCCCCATAAGGCTGGTGGGTTGCCTGCTTTGTTGTTGTGGAGATTGGGCAGTAGTTCCTGCAGCAGCATGGAACGTTGACGAGTGTTAGCCGAGCTTCCTTAGGCCTTGTGAGGCACTAGGGTATGCAGGAGGAAGTCCCCTCAGTCATGTGGGACAACAAAAGAAAAATAGGTGCTTCTCCAGCCACACAAGCAGGGATTCCCCACTAAGAAGTTGGGCAAAGTATCGCCTGGTGGAGGTTTGGCAGGGATTTCCTCATCCTCGGGCTACTCTGCACAAGGTGGAGCTCACCTAACTGGTTGGGGTTGAGGCGTAAATGCCTTAGGCTAAGGGGAGTGGTGTGGAGTTCAGCAGTGGAATGTTAAGAGAACAGGAAAGAGACAGAAGAGAAAAAAATATTAAAATAATCCTGCTGAGATTCTGGGGGGATAGAGAGAAGGTAGGGAAACAAAAGTAACAATGTAGCAGCCCTGATCCCTCCCCATGGAGCTGCAAGGGTTTAATCCCTGCCTGGAGGTGGCAGCAAGCTGTGGCTGTATTGAGATTAAGTCCCTGGGACATATCCAAAAGGTCCCGGCTTTGGCCGAGACAGTGGTGGGGCTAAAGTCAAGCCCCAACCAGCCTTCACTGTGGTAAGGCAAAAGCCCCCAGCCCCTCATAACCTTGTGGATCTGTGCCTACTTATATTTATGATGCTCCTCCTGTGATTCAGTATTGTTCAATTTCCCTCTAAGTAACTCTCTTGGGCTGATTTCTGCCGAATGCCTCTGGTATGTGTTGCACCATCGCCATCTTCCTGGAAGTCCCCATAAGAATTTATATGAGTTTTAGGTCCTCAAAACAGATTTGTGAGCATGGTTTACTACTAGTCTTATTTTACAGATGAAATTCATATGCCCAAGGTAAATTTACCAGCTAAGTGGCAGAGTTGAGTTTTATATATTTTTGTTTTACTCTATACTCTAAAGCAGTTGGTTTTGCTGCCCTGCCATAGTATGAGACAAAAACTAGAATTGCATTACATCTGACAAAGTACTAGGTAAGTATTTCTTGCTCAAAGAACTTGTTAAAAATTTTTGAGATTTTGTTTCAGCAAAATAGCATATATTATCTTGTCTTGTTAATGTTGTTGAATGAATAGTATTGGTTTGGGGGGAAAAGCATATTACTTAATTTATCATTTAGATTTAATTAGAGTTATGGCAAATATTAGATTTCTTTCAAGTGAAATAGTACTAATTCAGGAAATCCTTTGAGTTTGTTTTGTGTAAATAGATGTGCACTGGGTAACAATATAGCAAATAGCCATAGATACTAATACAATAGAAACACAATCTGTTGTAAGATTTTTTTTCCCTCTCCCCTACCCCTAGTTCCTAATTGGGTCTCATTCTCTAGTCATGGGCATAGAATAGTATATTTAGCATTTTCTTGACACTATTATTACAAGAAACATGGGAAGTTTTTTTTTAAAGAGGAAAACAAGTAATAAAAGCAAAATGAGTTGTCCATAATTTCACTCAGTTGTTTTGATTTAAAGGAAATTATGATTCAGTTTTATAATCAGAATGAAGATTGTCACTATTTTCTATTTATAAAACCTCAATTCGTATTTTTAAAACTTAATTTTATGTAATTTTTGTAAATTTAGTTCATTTTTATTACATATCAAGAGATTCTACTTTATATAATTTATTGTCTTTCGTTTTCTCCAAAGAAGGAACGCTTTGCACTCAAGAGTTATTGGACTCTTACAGTGTACAATTCCCTCTAGCCAGCCTTGATGTTTATTTGGTTGCTGTTAACCTCAGTTAATTTCGTTACACATGGTATAAACTGTTAAGATCGTGGCTAAGATATTTGCCTACTAGCCTAAAGGTTATCAGTTTGAACCCACTCCACAAGCCTGTTGAAATGCTTTCTAAAGGTCATAGCATTGAAAAATTTATGCAGCATTTGTACTCTAATGCATGTGGGTTTACCATGCATTGGAATCTATTTTCTGGCAACTAACAACAGCAACAATAGGAAATGCCCAGGAGTGGAACTTCATTCTGTCATTAGAGTCTCCGATTTTACCAGCACCATGATAGGTTCTTAACCCTTCTCTGGCTGGGTTTGTTTTGTTTTCCTTATACTTTCCCTATTCATTTAACTTTTTTAAAATTCCTATCAGCGAAGCATTCTATAACAATCACTCCATACCTGTCTAGGACTTTAAAAAAAGTCTCAAACTGCAATTTGCACATATAAGATCTTCTGGATTAGAACTCTTATTTTTCTAAGCCTGGAAGTTATTGGGCCCTGAGATATCTGATATACACATTTTGGGCTGCTAACCCCAGGGTTAGCATTTTTAATTGGTCAGCTGCTCCTTGAGCGAATGATGTGGTGACATTCTATTTCTGTAAAGATATACATCCTTGGAAACCCCAAGGGGAAGTTCTAATCTTCCATGTGGGGTTGTTGTGAGTTGGAATCAACTTGATGGGAGTGGGATTGGTTTGGTTACACAGATTACATTTCTTTTATGTCCTTTGTCTGACTTTAAAGATTGAGGAAAACTGAGTGGTTCAATATGTAATATTTATGCAATATATAATTTTGCCCTTTAGTTTATTGAAGTTGGTTGAAGTATTTCACTAAATTCTGAATTTACATAACCATATATAGTCATTTCCAGGATATTGAAAGAAGTAATTCCTAAGCTTCAAAAGCCTTCAGTATAAAGAGTACACATGGTTTCATGTATTTATTTCTTCCTTTTCGCTCTCTCTCTAATAGGCTTTCAAGGATATGCTGTATTCAGCTCAGGACCAGGCACCTTCTGTGGAAGGTAAGATGTATTTATTTGCCCCTAAGTTTAGTTGCATAACATCTTTTTAGTGACTGACATTTTAAACAAAGTATAAAGCTCATTTGATTCTCTACCTTATTGCAGAATTTTGTTTTCAATAATTTGTTATGATTATTTTAAACTTTATCCAAATTATTTTATCTAGTGCATATTTAGCCTATTTTTAAAAAAACACTTTTTACTGTGATATAGGTGAAGGCATATAGAGCAGATCATTATTTTTACATTCAATAGCCCCTTTCAACCCTTCAATGTACCATGGCTTATCCTACTTCTCAACATTTCCTGTTTCCATTCTCCTTCTTTCCTTAACCCTCTGCCCTTTTGATCTTAAATAGTTGATTATTCTCACGGGGATGAATTCAGTTCCAAACCTGAATGGTGCCTAAGGGCAATATTCTTGGGAGTTCCATCAGTCCCTCTCCAACTAGTAAGCCAGTTCTCTTGTGTGATTTTATGATTTCTCTTTACATGTTTCTCACCCACTCTATCTGGAACCTTCAAATGTGTTCTTTCTTAGAGAAGTTGATGGTGGTAGGCAGCACCACCTAGTTCTGGACCCAGAGTTGTGGAGACTGATGTTTCCATGGTTCTTTAATCCATTGAACCAATTGTCTCCCTGCTTCTCTTGATTTTTATCCCTCTTATTGATTCCCTCTAACATTTACACCTTCGATGACTGCTCTCGAGTATTACAGACCCACTTATTACTCACCAAATAAGATAAGGAACATTGTTTTTGTGAACTGTGTTATGCCGATTAACTCTGATGTCCCCTGATCCTATGGTCTGGATCCCCCAACCCTGCAACTCATTACTTCAACGTGTTTGGTTATGTGTAAGGATATATTTGCAGCAAAGGTGAATACAAATATCCTTTTCCCAATCTATATATGTATTCGTGGGTATACGACCATCTTCTTTTCCACACCACCTCAGCCTGCATCTCTATCCAGGCATCTACTGGTAGATCACTACTATTGAAGGATTGTTAGTGTGCTGGATCTCTTGTAGTAAATACCCTATGTCCCCTTTAGGACTGGGAATCATCAATACTTAGAATCAAGTTTCTTTTTTGTGTTGTGCTTCTCCTTCCAATGTATGTTGCTTCTTTCTTCCCTCCCTCCCTCCCTCTCTCACTCTTCTTTTTTTTCTTCTGTTTATCTTTCCATCCATTTCTGTCTTTCTGACCATCTGTTAGTCTATCCGTCTGTCTATCCACTCATCCATTCATAAATCCTTAGTTCTTAGTCTGTGCAATGCATTATTTTCTTTCTCTCTATGGTTTGTTTTAATGTAGAGCTATAATTAGATAATGGAGCATATTTGTTGTGGTTGTGCATGTATGTTTATGCAAGCATATATATGTATGTATGTGCACAGTTTGGCAGTCATGAAATGACTGACTTTTTAAAAACATTGATAATTGTTTCATTTTAATCTATATTTGGGAAATATTAGCTGTGCCTTTGCTATCACCTGCATGTGCAGGACTGGAAAATTATGTTCTCATATTCCTTGTCCATCTGGCTCAGTCAGAAGAATACTAACGTGGACACACTTATGAGGAGCACTGTGGGTTCATCAACTCACTGACAGGTTTTGGATGCTGGCGTGATTGGGGGAATGAGACTATAATGTAGTACTTGAAGGCAGGCTCCCTTAAGATTAGTTTGGAGTGTGGAGATGAGGAGCAATGATCTAGTAACCCAGCCCAGGTGATGGGAGCTGACTTAGAAATTTGAAGGGAACTGCTTCTGTTCAGACCCATTTTGCCTCCAAGATGGGCCAGCTTCTTCAGATGGATTTCTGCCTACTTGCCAGGATTGCTCTTGCTGTTTAACAAGTGATTCCCTTCCTATAAACTTCTGTAGGCCTCTGGAGAAAAGTATGGCCTTATGAACAATTTTATTGGTGTTACTGA